ATAGTATAACATAAAAGTGATTAGAAGGATGCTAATACTAATGATACTACTACTACTTCTACTATTATTACTAGTAGTAAAATAACAACAACTGCTACTAGTACTTATGTTTTTTACTGATGATAATGATATCAATGATAATGACATAGAAAATAAGGTATGCATCTTACATTCCATACTTATTATCTTATACTGCAGTTTTGGCGTAGTATAATGGATTTCTAAAGTGAAACAGACCACTTATTTAAATCACTTCTCTCTCTAATTAGTAGAAAGACTAATAACATCTGCTAATAGATACTTTCTATGGATTCCACCTGCGTAACAGCAGGTTATAAGGGAGTGCCTGATATACCAACCTAAGTAGTGGCAAGCATAACATCATAAATATTCCGTGTTCGCACACACTGCTGTTGGTCTCTACCATGTGACGCACAACAAGTACCTACATCGTGTGTGGTGATACCCAAGGCTTGTGTCCTGTGTGACAACTCTTCTGTCCGTTTTGCGTCATACAGGACCTCACTTTCATGTCTTGTGTGTCAACAACACTAAAAGATGTATTATTTGTGCAACGGGGGAAACCCTGCATATTGTGCTATGGCCCTTTTTATAGCAAATATCTTTGACAAAAAGATATTTGCTATGATATGAGCTTGCAGCGCGTTTATCCATTTTATATGATGTGGGGAAATTCTAACTGCACACTATTTATTTTTTTTCATGATATTTATAACTTTATCTGTATTCTTTATAATGTAAATGGATAACTATAATTTTTTGTGATAGTCGTAGTAACTAATTGACATGGCAAAGTAGTTTACATCAATCACATCAGTTCATCAAGGGAAATCCAATATTGGCGAGGTGCAGCATCCCCCTGGAATATATCTATAGTTATTATTTTTTAAATACAAACAGCTTATGAAAACCAAGGAAAATATCATCATCAGAGAATAAAATTATTAATGGTAAAGATAAACAATACCGTATTAAGAAGTTTGTTAATTTTACAAAGACTTATATTACTCACGCAGAAATCGAGATATGGACAATTGTATCCAAAAGAAATAAGTTTCATCAATTGTTTTAAATCAGCGTTTATGAGAAGCCAAAACAAATTTACATATAAATTCACATTAAATATTTCTGTAAATTACCAGATATCTTTCATCATATATGAAAAATAAGTTTCTTGTAAGTTTAGGTGGTTAGCTGTCCAAATGAAAATATATATATATATGAAAAATCATATAATCTGTTATCACACACACACACACACACACATATATATATATACTTTGCAGCGGCGTGTTAGAGTGCATTTCTGTCTATGTTAGGTTAATTATACATCCTGTTATCTAACTGTTAGTCTCTCTCTCTCTCTCTATCTGTCTGTCCGTCTGGCTATCTTACTCTACTTATCTGTCAGTCTATCTTACTATCTATCAATTTATTAGTCAGTCAATCAATCCATCTACATATTTTTTTCTATTAATCTTCCTTTCAATTGATTTTCTAACATCAATAAGCCTATCTATCTATCTATCTATATAAATCGTAACGGATGTTATGATATCCAGTGAATCAGTAGGAATAAAGATTAGCCATTTTCCCCGTTCGAAGAGTTTCAGCGCGTGGAACGGTAACCACGAAAGTTCTCAGACAGTTTTGAGACGATTCTAAGACAAAAAAAATGAGATTGTCGGCAGAGGGCTTTCCTATTGATTTTCATTTTTATTTCTGTACCTAGGCCTATTGTACGTGCTAGCCATGCACAATATATGTTTTACTCTAAGTAAAAACATATCTTCTTCAAAGGTCACTTCACCTTCATTATTCATGTTTGATTCCTGTAGATATGTATTAATATGTGTGACGCTAGCACATTAGATAAAAAAACACATTTGCAAACATTTGAAAGTATTTTTGAAGCTTAAATTAACAGATGAGATCAATCAACGATGTAGGCAATCGAAGGGCATTGTGCCACGTGGTCACTTGTATTATTTCATGTATGTCCATGACTGCATTAGTATAATAAATATTTATACTTATATACGCTATTTTGAGTAATATAAAAACATTAATTTTATTTATTGATTTGTTATTTTTTATATGTGACATGCGCCGACCTGAAACACTTTTGAGACAGTCTCAAATTTTAGTCTCAGAATTGTCTCAAAACTGTCTGAGAACTTTCGTGGGTACCGCTCCTGTTCTTTTGTTTTGTCACTTTGCGGCGCGAATCATTTGCCTTTACCTTCGATCATTCATTGGTTTATTGTTGTTTACTCGGTTTATATAGCTTTAGTATTTTCGAATATTTTAATTTCACAACAGGGTTTATCGGCATGCTTTCTTACGGTTCTCTTAGTTTCTGTTACTAGAGCTACGAGGAAATATGAATATAATTTAATCAAGATTAGCTGAATTAATCAATTCGTCATACCTCCTCCTTCTAATGCAGGTTTGTTCCGATTTAATAATCTATTGTTTT